CGGTGGCGGAGGCTCCAGTGGAGGCCACAAGTCCTCCTCTTCGGGGTCCACTGGAGAGTCTTCTAAGGGACCAAGGTCAGCAGAAACTAACTGGGGTAATCAGAATTAGTATTAATTTTTGTAATGGCTTTGTTGCTTTTTATGCTTTAGAGCTGTTTTTAAAAGTAAAACTTTAGGGTTCCAATTTGCGTTTTTTAATAGAATATAACCGACATCAATCTTGAAAGAAAATGGCATAGTCAAAATGCAAAATTTAAACATTACTTGGATTTTTTTCTAACAGCATTAAAAAGTTGATTTTTTTTCCCTTTGAAAAGTGTTCTTTTCAAAATTTTTTGCTAATTAATGAGTAAGGGTCCCTACATGTTGCTTAGTCTAAATTCTAATTTTTGTTATTCACACAGATACTAACAAGACCAGACTAATCAAGACTATTATTGAAGAAGTGGCACCTGATGGTAGAGTTCTTTCATCTATGGTTGAATCAGAAACCAAGAAACACTACTATTAAGCTGCTTCAAGAGGATGGAGTCCCCTTCCACTCAGGCCATTATACAGATGCATGGAAAGTAAATCTCCAAGAAAATACATCAAAGTTAGTGGTCTGTGGAAGCAGGTTCACTCTTTGAAAATGAGGTGTCTAAAAGGTGTTTTGTAGTTTCTGTATTTCTTCTTTTCACTTTACCAGCAAGTGTTCTTCAATGACAAAAAAAGGCAAACTTTCTACTCTTATGAATTTCAATAAACTTTCTTACTGATGCAAACTATTCAAATTTGTCAGAGTTTTTCTTAGGTAATATTTTTCTTGATTAAAGATGGAGAACATTATACTATATATAGCATTTGAAACTGTAATCTTTGAAGATTGATTTATACAAAACTTCTGGGGGAAAAAAGTTTTGTCATGATTGTTATCTTGTCCGTGTACGTTCAGACCAATGTCATTAATCTCAGTGGGTAAAAAATATTCTTAAGTTCCCAGTCTTACTCTTTTTCTTAAAGATGGGCAATATATATGGGAAGCTCCTAACTCTGGCTTTAAAATATTTTATTCCTGGAAATCATGAAATATGCTAAATAACACCCCAAAATTAACATAAGCTGGGAATTTCACATTTTCTGATTACTTGACTTCTCACATTATTTTCTTCCTATTACTGTATTACTTCTTCCCAATTACTATACAGCTTTAAAAATATCTTCCAGTACCCACCAGCCTAATAGAATCACATCATCCCCAACGAGATTATTTGGTATCTGGCAGGCTAGGAGAACATAAGCAAGAAAGTGTTTATTTTGAAATGGCACTCAACTTTTAGTTTTTCTTTATATGTGTTCTTAAGCATTTTAATCCCTTTCTTGGTTCATTTTGTTGGCTATCAAAGAATACCAAAGACTAGGGAATTGGTTTATACTCATGGAGGCTAAAAGTCCAAGGGCCTTCTTGAAGTGTCATAACATGGCAGAAGATGTCACATGGTAGGCAGAGAAAGAGAAGAAGTGTAAGAAGGTGTGTTATCCTGTGATAACATTAGTCCATTCTTGAGGGCAGAACTTCTTAAGGATCTCACCTCCTGATACCATCACAAATGGCAATTAAATTTGAACATGAGTTTTAGAGGGGACAAACATTCAAACCATAGCAATCCCTATGGCTTTTTTCACCATATATAAATGCAAACAGTAGAGTATACTCCATAGACCAACCTAAAAAGTGTGCTTGCACCTGCTACCCACGGGAATGGTTAAGAGTTCTCTGTTCTCATATACAAATCTTTAAACTGTAAAATGGGTGATATTTATTGGGAGAGAAAGCCAAGGGAAGTAAAATATTTTTCTGTCTTCAATTATCCCAGACTTTATAAAAAGAAAACGACTAAAATCAATAATCAATTTTAGTAAGAAATAAGTTGAATTTCTGTATATCGGTAATGAATAATTGGAAATGAGACTATAGAAAGCATACCATTTACAATAGCACCCACAAACATAAAATATGTAGGAATAAATCTAAAAAATACATGCAAGATTTTTATGCTAAAAACTGCAAAACATTAAGAGAACTCAAAACCAACAAATAGATCGTCATATTGATGTTTTGGTAGGCTTAATTCTGTTAAAATATTAAGTCTTCCCAAATTAATCTATAAGGTCATGGAATTCCAATAAAAGTCCCACAGGCTTTGTCATAGAAGTTGAAAACAGTTTTGAAAATTTCTATGAGAAAGTAAAGGAGCTAGAAGAACCAAAATGATGTTGAAAAATGAAAAAGAATGAAGTTTGAACACTCACTTGCTTTCAAGACTTATTCTGAAGCTGAAGTAATCAAAACAAAGTGGTATAAATGTAGTAATAGAATATAACAGACTACTAAAGAGTCTAGAAATGGATTCATACATTTTCTCCATTGAATTCCAACAAAGCTTCCAAGGGAATTCAATAGGAAAATAAAAGTCTTTCAGTAAATGATGCCAGAACGATTGGGAATGAATGAATGAATGAATGAACTAAAACTAAAGAACCTCAACCCAGGTTTCATATCACATAAGAAGATTAAGTCAAAATGGACCATAGAGCAAAATGTAGGTGCTAAAACTATAAAACTTAATACAAAAAGAAAAAGCAAAAGACCTCAGTGATTTAAAATTAGGCAAAAATGTGTAAGATGTCTTAGACGACACATAAAACATGCATACTCTACAATTTAAAAACTGATAAACTGGGTTCCAGCAGATGGCATAGTGGTTAAGGCACTGGATTCCACATGGCCTACTCTGAGGTCTGCGTCCCAGACCTGGCAGCTTGAAAACATGCTGGACATGCATGCATATGTGCCTAAAGTCCTGAAAGGAGAATGGAGGAAAAGAGATTGCAATGGGGCTATATCCCCTCCTGGGGCAGGGGGTGGAGTGATTTCTGACTTTCTCTCTAACTGTCTCTCTCTGTCTCTCTCCGATAAGCACACAGTAAAATCCATATTTTTAAAAGAAATTGATAAATTAGATTCCATCAAAATTAAAAACGTCTACTCTTTGAAGCCTACCGCTTAGAAAAGGAAGACTAGGCACAGACTAGTGGAAAATAATTGCAAAATGCAAATCTTACAAAAGACTGGCATTCAGGATATAAATATGAACAACTCCCTCAACTAAAGAGTAAGAAGATAATCCAATAAAAAGTGGACAAAATATTTGAATTGACATTTCATCAAAGAAGCAATAACAATAGCAAATAACCACATGAAAAAGATACTCAACATTATTAGTCATTAGGAAAGTACAAATTTAAAACATAATGAGATGCCACTATACAATTATTAGAATGACTCAAAACAAAATATTTTTAACCGACAATACCAAGTATAAGCAACTAAAACTCTTACAGATTATTGGTGGGAATACAAAGTTGTAGTTCAGCAGTTTCTCATAATATTAAACACAGACTTACCATATATCAATCCCATTTATAGATTTACCTAAGAAAAAGGAAAACATGTCTGCACAAAGATCTGTGAGGAATGTTTAGAGGCATTTTATTTATAGTGAGAAGAGAGAGCCCCCCCCAAAAAAAAGTGTTTCTGTCTCCTTCTACCCCTACTATATGAAAAGAAAGCTACTAAAACCAATAATCCATTATAGCAAGAAATCTCTTGAAAAAAAAATTTTTGAGAGGTGTTTTTTGTTTGTTTGGTTGGTTTGATTTGGTTTTTTTCTTTCTTTCTTTCTTTTTTTTTTTTTTTTTTTTTTTTTTTTTTTAAATCGCGCCCCCGCCCCCCCAAAACAGAGACAGAGAGACATAGAGACAGAAAGCGAGAAATCACCCCCCAAGGGGGGATGGCCACGCCGCAATCCCTTCTCCTCCATTCTCCTCTCGGGATCTTGGGCACGCACGCACACACGCCTGGCGTGAGTTTTAAGCCACCGGGTCCAGGATGTGAACCACAGTCGACTACGTGGGAGTCCAGCGACATAGCCATTACACTAACCTGCTGGTCCTACCTTGAAATTTCTTTATATCAGGAACAAATCACTGGAAAGGAAATGTAGAAAGCAGTACCGTTCACAGTAGCACCTACGAATGAATAAATAAGGAAATCTGAAAACAATCCAAATGCTCATAAGCCTGTGAATGGTATAACCATATGTGAAAGAATACGAAAGAAACAGACTACAAAAACATGGCTAGAATTCAAAAGCATTATGTTAAGTGAAAGAAACCAGAATCAAAAGGCTACACACTGTTTCTAGCTTCTATGACATTCTAAAAGTTCAAACTGGAGGACTGGAACACAGATCAGAGGTTGCCAGAGATTAAAGGTCACAAAGAGACATAAAGAGACTTTTTGGAATATTGGAAACATTCTCTTTTTCCTTTCGGCCACTATATCACTAAATTTGTTTGATCAAACTAATAGAACTGTACACCAAAAGAGTACATCTTACTTTGGGTACATTAAACCTCAAAATAATCCAGCTTTTTTCATTAAAGAATTGTTTTACTTTTATTTATTTATTTTAATTTGACCAGAGAGAGACAGAGTGAGATAGAGAGAAAGAGAGAGACAGAGAGAAAGTGAGAAAGCAAACCACCAGGTACGGACTCAAGCTGCACGGAAGCCCATGTGGGAGTCCAGTGCTCCCAACCACCACTTCACCCACCACTGGCCCCCCAACATTTTTTTTAAGTGAAAATAAAAAACAGTGATGAGAAATTTTTTAATTTTTTTTCTTATGTGACAACTGACATCCATTTCAACTGTATTTTTAGTTCTAAATAATAAAGCTTGTATTCTGAGGACTGTAGAACATGA